TTGAGAAGCAGGCCATAGTGAATTAATTATCCTCACGTGTTGACAAACAGTTACTTATTAGGCGATTAAACTACTCTTCAAAGGCAAAACAAATAGTTCCAAAGAGTTCTACGCTTTTTTGAAAATTCAGTCAAACAAATAAGCCGAAAATACTATTATTCTCCTGAAAAAATAATTGCTAACCTTAAAATTTTTGTCTCTTCAAAAATTTAAGGAGATTAACCCTTCAAACAGTTTCATTCCACATACGATTCACTGCAAAATATAACTATTTTAGAGTTTTTGAGGTACTGTGCTATCCAGCTGTTTCTCAATGTACATAGTACCGGTGACAAAACAAGTAAGAGCACTTATCAAAAAATCCAAAATTTTTATTAAATATTATTTTATGAAATGAAAATTGTATACAGACATGAAGACTAAGTTTTAACAGATCAACTTTCTCAATGCCAGCAATATCAAGATTTTAGTTATTAAAAATGCTTACAACTATTCATTTTACTCAGAGTAAAAGTAAATCAATTATTCAGGATTTGCAGTCAAATATGTTTTTAAGCCATAATAATCATAAAAATTATTTTATTCTAATCAATATGTGTGGTATATTATGGAATTCTCAGTCTGTAATGGTTCAGCAGATTCACTCTCTATACAATAACTTTAAGTGAAATAATCATTGCTTTCGAATGACGTTTATACTAACAGTAATAAAGCTTTTAATGTGGAACAGGCACTTGCTATTACTTTTACTTCGGATTGGTGAATGAATAGAAAATAGAGAATAATTTTGGTGGTGGTAGTTAACCAAGCCAGTACCAAAATCTGCACTTCGAAACAGTTATACGAGGACTGGCAATGTACAGTATTGCTGTGCCTTTATAAGCCCAACTCTTGCTGTGTATCGTTTTTTCCTTTGTTTTTTTATTAGTTGGAAAAACCGTAGTTTGAAACTGTTTTTCAACTTTGCAAGAGAACATGACGCGTTCAATAGACATTTAAAAATCAAAACAAATTGAAAGGAGATCGGTTTAATATATTCGGTAGCCTAGGGTTCAAGGAAGCAGCCTGTAAGATAGTACACAGCGCAAATTATACACAATAAATGGTTATCAAGCACGTGTACTGATCTAGTTATATACTGTATTGATCATTACACACTTTTCCTGTATGACAGTTTTCATTATACTGGACAGGATGAATAAAGCCATTACGAAAAAAATGAAAACATATCATGCCTCAGTGAAGAGGGATGTAGTTCATCTGCAATTATTTCTCTAGGTATTATAACGTATGGACCAAAAACGGGATCATCATCACTGATCATGATGAAATAAAAACGTCAGAGTAACCTCTCCACCTATAATATTGAGATCCCAGCATTTACTTGACTCATGTGATAATCACTTCTGTATCATAACAATAAAAGCTATATACATACTTTCGTCATTTAATTCAGCGAATTCTGCTGACCTAGAAAACATTTTTCAACTTTTTTTTAAAAATATTTCTAGTTTTTGAGCGGTTTTATGATTTTCAAACAGACGTCATCTTGATCATCGTAGTTAACCACTGGCTTAGCGATTAAAACGTATTTTACTATTTGATGTTCCAGTACATTTCTATTAACGACATCGTTTTACCAGAAGTTGGTTATTTCAATGTTTAAGTAACATATCATAATAGCTAAGTAATATATATTAAAATGCTGTATTTTCCTCACTATACTTGTAAGTGAGCGTGGGCAGCTGTTGATGAATGTGTGTAGTTTGTTGGAAGTGCTTTTCGTGACGCGTCAAGTTACTGAACCTTATAGCAGCAATGACTTGACTGAATTAGTGTTGAAAATCCGGATCTTTTTCTTTATCCTGAGTGCAGTAGGTCTCCATAGTGATTGCTTTTCCGATCCTGGTTTCGACATCGTCTTCTGTACCACCTGTAGTTGAAACAATCCTGCCTGCGTAGGTGAAAGAGGCTACTTCTTTTAGGTTTCTCCCATTAATGGTAACTGGTGCTTGTTGTTGGTTGGGTATCTTCATCACCTTCATCTTCTCTACACTCACTTGAAGACCCGTTTTCGCTGCCTCTTTTGTCAACTTGTTGATTTTTGCCTGCAAATCTTCGATTTTGTGCGACATTAGACGTAAATCATCGGCCAAATCCAAATCTTCTTCTTCTTTTCATCGGTCTGGCCAGCGTATCCCTATTTTCATGCTCCTTACAGTTGTCTGCTGCATGATCCAGTCGACCACAATCAGGAAGACCATGGGTGATAGTAGGTGACAACCCTGTCTTTCTCCTGTCTTCACTTCAAAGACGTCACTGAGCTTCATTGTCAATCACTTGGAATGTGGCGTCTTCATATAGCTGTTCAAAGAGGTTGATAAAGGTTTGTGGTACACCGTAGTGTTGAAGCAGTTGCCGAATTACTTCTCAGGCGACGCCGTCGAAGGCTTTTTCAAAGTCAATGAAGTTGAGGTGTAGAGTTGACTGCCATTCTACACTCTGTTCTATGATGATGCGTAGCGTAGTGTTGCAATTTGATCTGCAAATGATTTCTTCTACCTGAAGCCAGCCAGCTAGTTCGGTAGCAGTTTCGAAACCAGCCCATACTTCAGTCTCTCCAGGGTGATGTGGCCTAATATTTCGCTCAGGGTGGACAGCGACAGGAGCTTGATTCCGTGCCAGTTCTTGCAAAGACTTAGGTCTCCATTCTTCCAATCAATCGACAGGTACCTTTCCTTTTTATCTTGTAAGCCTTCTGCAGTAGTAGTGTGAGCATGTCCACTGTTGTCTCTGCATCTGTTTCCAGTGCTTCTGGCGGAACTCCACTGGCCCTGCTGCTTTACTGGATTTCAGCAGTTTTATGGCATTCAGGACTTCTGCTTTTGTCGGAGGGCCTGTGTTACTGGTAATTCTGCCATTGCTGATGGTATTTCTGGACGAATTGTAGATGGTGGTCGATTCAAGAGCTTTTTGAATAGGTTATATATCGAGGTTAAAACAACTAGCAAAGTTCATCAAGAATGTTTGCTATTACCATTTTTACTCATATTGGTCACGAGCATACTGACACATATCATTCTGTCTACTCTTCACGTTTTAAGGGTTCATTTGTAATCCAGAAAGACCCTAGTAAAATCATATTTTACTGATAGCATAGTTTACTCCACGGAGATGTTGACAAACACCTTAAGGAAACATAGGATATGTTAGGAATACATCTCATGGCTGTCCGTTGTTAGATGACGTTTCAGGACTGCTTCTAAACAGTACCAAAGTTTTAGGATCTGTAGGAAGTGGCTCATTGGTCTAGGAGCTTGACATTCAACTGATGGTCTCACACATTCTAAAACCTCTCCATCTACCGAGATCTGGGCAACCAGGTGTGGCTTACTGTCTACTCCATGAATGTGAATGTAATTGTTGAGTGCATTTCAATTCAACTTTCAGTTAAACACGTTGACCCCTTTTATTATTATTTGTGAAGTTGCTTCAATCTTGATGAGATTATTCCTGACAAATCCCAGCATGAATACAAAAAACCTGTTCAGAATCAGTTAGCACCTGCAAACTTTCCGGCTACTTATCAAAAAGCAGGTAGATTGAGAAACGCTCGTCTATTCTACTCTACGGCTGTTAAATACAAACCCCAAACGTGCGTGGCATGAGGAAGATAAGTTTCTTCAAAACATTGCTTGTACACTCTTGAACCATAAGATGAGAACTATTAAAGATGGATGTAAAGTTCTTACCAAAGAAGGCGCACCATTGACAAGGTACTGATGAACTTACATTGAAAGAAGCTGAGGTATATGTTACGCACCTGAAATTATCGTGTTCCTCGATGCGTTATTTCAACTGATGCAGGTTTAGATGAGAAAAAAGCTAAAATTGGTTTGACGACAAAATATAAATCCAAACTATTGATTTGAACTGAATAGGAAGATGTAGTTTGCTCGATTAATAGGACCAGCAAGACGTTATGGAAAGAGATTTTGGAGAAGGATTTCAGTGACTGTCGTGAGGCCCCAGTTTTGCATAAAAGATTGCTATTGATCTGAACATTTTTAACTTGGCATTCTGACAACATTTTTACGGCATGACTAGTAGTTTATTTTCTGCCCCATTGTAATGCAATTCGCTGATTGGTTAATCTTTACTCTTACTATGCCAATGTCACAAATTGTGGACAAGGTCATTTTCATGTGTGTACTTACTCACGTGTTTTAGGATTTATTACATTCTCGGAGAAATAAACTCTCCTATCATCCAGTCTTCGGTCTTTCGGCCATAATACACGTTTTTAAACGTCCATCTTGTCTTCTCGACTAATTAGTCGGGTCGCGAATCAACTAGGAATTTGTTGAAATTGGTGGTGGCTGACAGTCGATATCTGTGCATCGTTAGCGGTTACAGTATATACCAGTCTCCAAATCATAACAGTGATACAGATCAAAATCGACAACAATGGTGCGGATAACAATTCACTCTTCATAGTCTTCAAAAGTATGAAAACTCTAATGGCCTTCTTTTCAAATCTTTTTGTTGATTTTAACACGTTTTAAACTCTCTTTGATTAGCTCTTTCTATGCTGCTTTAAAACAAAGATTCAGCCAATCCACTTCTGTAGGAGAATCCAGGCCGTTCTGTTTGTCAATCACTGACCCAACTCCCTTTTACCCATTTATAGAGGATTAAATTAAATAAATGGTTGACAGTTAAATAACAACTGAAGCTCATAATTTAGTATATGGAGTTATGTAAAGTTTCTGAGTTGCTTTGTATTAATTTTTTGTATTACTCTGTTTACTCTGATCTCGTTTATGGCAATCAGTGTACACAATACGAACCCCACTGAGAGTTAAGTGCAATCTGATTTAAACTCAGTAGTAACCCACCCGATTGTGATACTCAACAATACAAAACTTGCACAACACAAGGTATCAAACATTGTCTACTAAAATTTAAAACAATACATAGTAAGTATAATATCATGAATACTAATAACAACTAGGTCTTACTGCAAAAGGGTCAGCTTTACCCCATGAGAATTTACTGGTCGGTCCACCCAGTGCAGATACACAGCACAAATGACCAACACGTACTTTTTCAGGGAGGGATTCAGGTACACAGGCAAGAATAAAACAAATATCTAGAAATGCAATAGCTGTAGCCAATGCTACAACAAGTTCTTCACTACACACTCGACCTAGATAAGCTCCGATTGCAGGTAAACTGACAAGCCTAGCTGCGAATGTAGCTGAAACCTGACCAAAGAAAATAAACAACATTGCATAAATTTATGTACGAACAAAGGTAAGACAAAGTTGTATTAATGCGAAAAAACAAACGTGAAATTTATCAACTGTACTGAAGTGTGAAGTTGTGGCTCATTATTCAAGGAGATGACTACCAACCACTGGGTCGCGGGTTCCAGCCGTGTCCCATCTACTAAGGTTTGGGAAGGCAGGTAGTATTACTGGCCCTTACACACTAGGTATGGTTCATTGTCTACTGCACGAATGTGCACGGAATAGCTAAGTGCGTTTTATTTTTATTTAATGCACAATTGTGAGCCAAATTATTGAGGAGTTAAGCTAATTATCAACCTGAATTTATTCAAAATTCTAAAGGATGTATGAAAAAAGGAAATATGAGCAATGAATGAAACATGACTACGAAAGAATTCGAGGCCTCTGAAGTATAATCATGTAAGGAAGGGAGATCAGAAAACCTATGTAGGATTGACTTAGTTGAATAAAATAATTCAACCTACCACATACATTGCAGTGACTTCGAGGTCAAAAGCATAGGTTAAACTAGCAGATTTAAGTGAGTCTGATTAGTAGAACATAGGAACCTAGAGCTAAGTCTAGATTGATAGACCATACTAAGGTAAATAATCTAGAGAATTTAGACATTGCTATGCATGCGATGACACAACCAAAAAAAATAAGGGTGGGACACTAACAGTCCCAATGTCTAAGGTGAAGTGGAGCAAGAGGTGGATTACTAAATACTTGTTCGTCGATCCACTCCCCAAGACCAGTAATAAGAATGACTCAACACTGATCCCAGATATACACCGAGTCCTATTACCAATCAAATCGAAGAATAAAAAGGTAGCAGAAGCATAAAATACTAAGACAGAAAGTTGTGATTACCTTGATATGAATGTGTCATCTGGTAAAAAATAATACTGCACCACTGTAGGCTCTATCAAAAGACTAATGTAACATGGAATTACATCCTACCATACTTAAACTTCTAACCTTTTTCTAGCCTAACCTTACTGCAGATGCTATCGTTCGTCTGAGTGAATGGTGACTAGACAACTGTAGCGCATGCTTCCGTCAATTGAGAATACAACCTCATCAACTGACTTACATCTTCTGGCTAAGACTGGCCAGAGGCTCTATATTAGAAATATGATGGTCCCACGATATATTGCCAATTCTATTATGACAAGCCTTTCATGCCCTTCACTTTGAATGTCCATATCCAACAGTCATAGAATAGAAGACAGAGAAGTGATGAGCCGTATAATCCACTCTCATCGACGTCGTAGGTGGTGTAAACTAGTGAAAGCCCTCGTCACCAACCCACCCATCAAGACTGATTCAACTTTCTAAGTAGGTGAAGTGGTCAACACACTCAACCACTTTCCTATCTATCCCAATCAACGGGATCAAATAGACTCCATTACCTGACAATTATCCGCAGTGAGAATTCAATGTCTAGCTTTACTCTATAACCGCTGAGCGCACAATCTTAAACCAAAGGTTAGTATGGTGGTTTTTCATGGGAACCACTTGTTGTGGTTTGAGCATCTAAACAGCATCACAACCCTTGAAAAAACTATTCAAGACCTTTGATAAATTATGCAACGTTTTCAAATGCTACATCACCGTAAATCTAATTCATTCGTTAATGGTCCTTTAACAACTATCACTAATTTCACCATACGTAAAATTTTGAGTAACTACACAATTTTCTTTTACAACTTGCATACTAGTAATAGACCTGATGTAGTTACTCTGAAACCAATTGTGTTTTGAGCGCATCACTTTTAACACCAAATTCTGATGCGAGTCAGAAAACAGATAGATTAAGCTACAAATCACGGAAATACCATCTCTGCTTCAATGTAGTACCACGAATAAATTGATCTGCGCTGCTTCTTTCTATATGAAGTTTTTACTCTTATCCATGGATTTGACCTGATCAGTTTGAAACCGTGATATCATCAGGACATGTACTGTCGTAGAAAATACCTACTTTATATGTTACTAGATTGTATGATTCAGTTTAGGAGAAGGGTACCAGGCAAGACAGGTAAGTCGGTCAATGAGGTTGGGAACATTCAGTGACTGAACTGAACTTTTGCTGCGGATCTCAAGCCACCACCTAAGTGTAAAATGCTAGCAGAAGTTGGGTTAGGTTGGAAGAAGGCTCAAGTTAGCCAGACTAAGAGGTGACACTATTGCATGAAGTCTGACGGTCATGTAAGCCGTGTGAGAGGGTGTAGAGTGTCTGATTGGGGTCCTCGGGACGATAGAAAAAAGTGTTTGGAGACCGTCGGTGATATAGCTGAGAATCGATCTCAGTGGTGCAGATGTACTTACTGTTTGACGCTCTAGAAAGTTTGAATTTTTACTAGCCTTGTTATTCAGATTCTTTCTTCTCCCATGCGCCTTTGCCTAGTCTTTTATCACTATTACTGCTACTACTCGTCACCTTCATGCTGCTGTGAAGGGTGGTAACTTGAACTAATGCACTTGTGTATCAAGTTCTAAGTTGATTTTCCCCTGTCTGTCCATCTGCTTGCACATAGTCGGACATTCAGTTCGTGTGATCAGTCCTATCTTTGGAACCAGTTCTGACTTAGGGTTCAATAATAATTGAGCAGCTCAATAGCGTAGGGGTCTAGTTATTAGTCTGAAATCAACTAATTGTGTAGGGGTTTACGATGGAATAGGATTTGAACTCGGAAGTCTGCTTGAAAGTCAAATACTCAAGTTGATGAGCCACATTTGCAGAACAGTGGGGTGTATAAGGACTTCTCGTCGTCATTCGATCTGTTAGTTGAATATCACTTATTTGATTACGGTTTGCGTTTAGTTGTATTTGGACTGCAGTAGATAGAGGAGTAGGAAAAAGCAATAATTAGACATTATTTCCCGTGCTAACTACTCACTGCAATTAGAATATGCAGACTGACAGAGAAACGGCGAAAGGCAACTCATAACTTTACACAGAAGTAAATTAGTTTGAGCTACTACTCAGAGACTTCATGGACTAGTCCCATGTCTTAGTCTAGCTATCCTGAACTTTCTTCCAACCTAATCCAACTTCTACTAGCATTGTACACGTCGGTATAGGGTGGTGGCTCGGTATACCCAGTCGCTGGATGTTCCCAACCTTATCAACTGACTTGTCTGTCGTATCCAGCAAAGCAGTTAAGATGAGGATAATGTGTGTATAAATCTGTGTCACTGACATCGGCTTTGAACCATATCACCTAGAGTCTCCAACCACTGGTTTCTTTCGTCTCACAGACCAACCAGCTAATCTGCATTGCCTTACATGGCTCAAACCAACAGTCACAGGCTTCATATATTGATGCCATGTTTTAGTCTGGCCGCCTCGAGCCTTTTACCAGCTGGAGCATACTTCAGTTAACATTCTACAATGAGCCAGACGATGACTAGGCATGGGTAACACACGTCCACATCAACTGACGTACCTCTCCTCCCTAAAACTTTACACCTAACTTCTGCGTTACTCATATGATGACACCACGACTTACATTCTATGCTACAAAGGCGACGGTGCTTAAGCATCTGAAACTTAACAGCGGTTTCACAGCCACAGAGTAGGGCAGAGTGAACTACAGTACAGTGCACTCGACTCTTAGTAAACAACTGGTGTCACGAAGGTGCTGTAAATAGCGCAAGTGGGCGTAAGCTAAGTGAACCTTTTGCATGTGTACAGAGATTACATTAGCCACTTACCCACTAGGGCTGACTCGACCTTTCAAGTAAGTGAAGTGTTCAACGTACTCAATCACTTCGCTCTCCACTGTTAAGCGGAGCACCGTTAAAAACCAGTCCTGGATCAACAACTTGCATTTGGGTGGTGAGAAACGCATCCAAGCACTCTCAGATCGCCACTCAATGTGTCCAGAGGACTCCGGAGTGTGCCAGCGTCTCCACCTAACATAATTATGTCATCTGTGTACTTTAGGTGTATCAAGGATTCTCCTTTGATCAAAACAATCCATGATAAGGGAGGAAAAGAGGAAGACCTCCGTAAGAAAGTCTTTGATAAACTGAATAAAAATGGAGAGTAATAGGGAAAAATGGCCACTGTGGTAGGACATTTTTCAAATTAGGTTGTTCGTTTGATATAGCAGAAAGTGACAGTGTGATTTATGGTGTGATGTTCTAAGCAGAATTTATCCCTCATATTCATATCAGAGTAATCATACGACTTTCATACTTTCTTTATGTAGTCCAGCGGCTCTTCATCTTTATCTTAGTGATTGCAAGATTTTCTGAACTTATCACTATGTAAAATGTCAAATAAAATATCTGATATGGAATGGGAACTACGTTTTTAGCTCATTTTATAATCTCTTCACATCTGATGAGGCGAATGATTTTAGATAAAACGAAAATATTCGGCATGTGAGAAGTATTCTTTTCAAATGAATTAGAGAATGATGTAAAGAATTCTTTGTTTCGTATCGAAAAGAATTACCTGGATAATAGACACATTGTTATAACCCTGTTGTCATTTATTATATACTTGTAATGACCACTTGATGTAACCTAAATTATGTGTGTAGCGACGGTTGAACAGTAACCATCAGATTCCATCCCATGATGACCATCCAGTTGCCTGATAAGTGGAAGAGGTGTCAGGATAACAGATGTTGAAAATATGTACAAAATACAGGAGCTTAAATGTATTTAAAATAGCCTTGGTTGTTTCCAGGTGTTTTTAGATTCGCATATACTATTAGTTTTTTTGTCTCTTCAATCAATCTGAAATTCATACTTTGGTTCACGTCCTTTTTCCCAAAACTTCTCATCAAAACGATTTGTTCTTGGTGGCTTCAGGAATTTACGTCTGCTTATGAAGATCTTGTCAGTCTTTCCGTAAACTCTTACAACCCTCCTCCTGAAATAGAGATTAGCAGTACAATGGTATCCTTTTACTGATTGGTAACCTTTTGCTGGATCACAATACATTATTCGTTATTGATCTGCTGAATCCATACTATGGT